TGGACATGATTAGTTGACAGCACGGGGTGTGACATGTGGACATGATTAGTTGACAGCACGGGGTGTGACATGTGGACATGATTAGTTGACAGCACGGGGTGTGACATGTGGACATGATTAGTTGACAGCACGGGGTGTGACCTAATTTGTGACCCAATAACTTTAAGGACGCTGTCTTTGTGCGCTTAACCCTAAAGTAGACCTGGATGTTTAACTGGAAATGCCCTTAATCGCCCCGTATTTATTATATCTTACTCAAATCCAGAAATAGTATGCAGGTTTACTGCGATCAAGTTATAAAATGGATAGATAACGAAAACTTTGAAGGTGAAAACTTCAGAAATCCCGCAATGACACGGTCGGCGCAACTGAAACCATCACGATCGGCTACTCGAGTCTTTGGCCGTCTACGTCTCACAAGAACACCAGGACAAGAAGAGCTCAGAATTTCTGGATTCGGATCTAAGGTAGAAATGAATGCACTTTCCGGATCGAGTCGACTAAATGTCGGTCTCGTGTGTTGTGTTTACAGAAAATGCTAAACAAGGTATTTGAAAAATCTTTATTATATAATATACCAAGGAGTATTATAATCGTTGGTACATCGTTCTCCTATTTTTGTCTTTTACAATTTTCAGACCCTGGGACTGTGCAGATATTGGAGTATAGCTAACGCAACCCTAACCCTGGGATTGTGCAGATTTTGGGGTATACCTAACCCTAACCCTAACCCTGGGACTGTGCAGATATTGGGGTATAGCTAACCCTAACCCTAACCCTGGGACTGTGCAGATATTGGGGTATACCTAACCCTAACCCTAACCCTGGGACTGTGCAGATTTTGGGGTATACCTAACCCTAACCCTAACACTGGGTCTGTGCAGATATTGGGGTATACCTAACCCTAACCCTAACCCTGTGATTGTGCAGATTTTGGGGTATACCTAACCCTAACAATAACCCTGGGATTGTGCAGATTTTACCCTAACCCTAACCCTGAGACTGTGCAGATTTTGGGGTATACCTAACCCTAACTCTAACACTGGGTCTGTGCAGATATTGGGGTATACCTAACCCTAACCCTAACCCTGTGATTGTGCAGATTTTGGGGTATACCTAACCCTAACAATAACCCTGGGATTGTGCAGATTTTGGGGTATACCTAACCCTAACCCTGGGACTGTGCAGATATTGGGGTATACCTAACCCTAACCCTAACCCTGGGATTGTGCAGATTTTGGGGTATACCTAACCCTAACCCTAACCCTGGGACTGTGCAGATATTGGGGTATACCTAACCCTAACCCTGGGACTGTGCAGACATTGGGGTATACCTAACCCTAACCCTAACCCTGGGACTGTGCAGATTTTGGGGTATACCTAACCCTAACCCTAATCCTGGGACTGTGCAGATATTGGGGTATACCTAACCCTAACCCTAACCCTGGGATTGTGCAGATTTTGGGGTATACCTAACCCTAACCCTAACCCTGGGACTGTGCAGATATTGGGGTATAGCTAACCCTAACCCTAACCCTGGCATTGTCCAGATATTGGGGTATAACTTTCATATAGGTATTCGGGGCTCTCACCATTTGTGTATTTCATAGAACATTTAAAATTACTTTTATGTTCCATGTTTATCGCCTTTTATCAAGATACATGGGAAGTAGGCCCATAACATGGTGATGACATTAAAAATCATTTGATTGGTCATTCAGATTTGGTTTTGAATTTCCGTCACTGTCCGTATTGAATGGAAGCGCCAAAATATTAAAGATAGGAAAATCAGTTTTTTCGTGAAAAACACAAATTTCTGACTAACAATGCCCCCCAAAAATGCCTCAAACAATGAATCCTCACAAATGATATAATATATGTTTTTTTTATTATTAGGTTTAATTGTTTTTTTTTTATATATTAGGTTTAATGTATTTTTAAAGGGAAAAAAAATCGTTAAATCTTTTTTAAAAAGTTGCGTATAACAACAGAACAACAACAAAAACAACAAAGTTATATTTTATTTTAATGTACAGATGGCTTAAACATTTGCATAAACGAGACGACGTGTAGAAGCTCAATACGCGATATCACGTGACCCAGGCCACTGATCACGTGACACGGAGCAGTGATCACGTGAAACGGAGCACCGATCACGATATTGGGTCATTGAGAAACATAGACGTTCAATGCATGCCATCACGTGACACAGAGCCTTGATCACGTGACACAGAGCATTGATCACGTGACACAGAGCATTGATCACGTGACACAGACGCTGATCACGTGACACAGAGCTTTCATCACAGCACCGGTTCCGTGACGTTCAAAAACGGATATCACCTGACAATGACAAGTGATCACGTGACGCATTTAAAATGCACCGATCTGGACCGTCGGCTGGTACAAATGGTTGATGTTCAGTTCGTGCATGATGTCACTCTAGCTATTGATGGATTATGGCGATCTAATACTCCGCAGGTACAGGTGTGTGTGTGACGACGGAATACTCCACAGGTACAAGTGTGTGTAACGAAAGATACTCCACAGGTGCAGGTGTGTGTGTGACGACGGAATACTCCACAGGTACAGGTGTGTGTGACGAAGGAATACTCCACAGGTACAGGTATGTGTGACGAAGGAATATTCCAGAGGTGCAGGTGTGTGTGTGTGACGAAGGAATGCTCCACAGGTGCAGGTGTGTGTGATGAAGGAATACTCCACAGGTACAGGTGTGTGTGACGAAGGAATACTCCACAGGTACAGGTGTGTGTGACGAAGGAATACTCCACAGGTGCAGGTGTGTGTGACGAAGGGATACTCCACAGGTACAGGTGTGTGTGACGAAGGAATACTCCATAGGACGAAGGAATACTCCATAGGTGTGTGTGACGAAGGTATACTCCGCAGGTACAGGTGTGTAAGACGAGTCCAACTGTAACAGTGGTCGGACACACAAGAAATATTCCGGGACATATACAGGAAAAATTTTACTGTGATAAAAATTTTTAAACAATTGACCTAGCCTCACATAGCCCTAACCCTAACCATAAAACTTGATATATTCTCAAATAATCACTCAACACCGATTATGACGTCATGTATCCAGGGGGGAAGAGAAAAACAAAGAGAATATATCCGAGTAAGTAATGCTAACAATATCACGGTGTACATAAACAAAAATTATATATATAAATATATCCATTTATGTATGTATGTAGCTGACCGGTCCATTTCTGTGGCGCAAGAGTCTCGGACACCAGCGCGTGCAGCGCGTCAGACGTCAGACGACATAAGGCACGCCCTGGTGTTGGCGCCCCCCTCCCCTCCCTCGACCCTCTCGGCCAGGTTGATCCTCGGGATCCGCTCGAAATCGTCCTCCTCGGAAGAAGAGCTCCTCCTGGTCTTACACCTGCCCTTGACCCTGGACGTCACGCCGCACACGAAGGACTTAGTCCGCCGTCGGAAGCTCGGGGAGAAGATCAGATAGATGTAGAGCTTGATGGCCCACTCGAACTTCCCCAGGTACAGGAAGACCGGCTGCAGGTCTTTCCCGAACTGGCCAAAGTTCTGCTGCGACAGCATGACGTAGAAGCGCATGAAGCTTAAGGGCACTTTGAGCAGCAGGGTGATGAACACCACGGGGAAGATCACGTTCGTCACGCGGATCGGCGCGCGGATGGACGCGCTCCTCGCGGTGGAGCCGACCCTGCTGGAGACGTCCGCGGCCGAGGAGATGCGGTAGTACTCGCAGCCGCGGAAGCAGATGAGGACCATGAGCAGGATGAGCACGAAGCTGGGAAGGGCGCTGACGAAGACCGAGTCGAGCTTCATGAGCAAGTGGAAGTCGTTCCGGAACTCGCTCCACTCTCGGCAGACGGTCCAGCCCCTGAACTTGATCGGCCCCGTCATGTAGATGACGTAGTAGTAGCAGGTCCCCGTCATGATCGCCATGCCTGATGCCAAAAGAAAAAAGGGGAAAATATAATATCTTCAAGTGTTGTAAAATAAAGACCAAAAGTGTGTTGTCAAAGTGAATTTTTTTTTATGCCAGAAAGTCCCCCCCCCCCCATAACAAAGATAAAATAACGAATAAAATTAGCGATATCCCCGCGAAACAATGACGGCGGCAATGCGTGAAACCTCCCATCTGTTACTTGATGAAAAGTGATAACTTCTAGAAGTTTTAATTTTTGCTTGCCAATTGAACAACCATTATGCATTTTAAACATTAATTAAGTTACTGTAATAATTACTTGTGAGGCATGTCTGATTTTATTCTGGAGAGTTTATGTGGATAACGACAATGACTCATTAAACAAAAAAGAAAGAATTTAACTGGATTGGTTAAAAATATTATTTGCTCATATACATATATAAATATATATATGTTAGGATGCCACTAACGATGAAGTGAAGATTTTTAAAATTTGAATAAATGCTAAAAAATTTTGGAATATATTATGATAATTATCGCATATAGCTCAACAAATACAAAGTTTTTTAATGCAATATATTCCCGCGTAATCTTGTGTTAGCTTTAGCGTCGTTATGTGCAACATGCCGTGACGCGTTAAGCGGCTGTTAAACGTTACCGCAGTAGTAGTTAGGGTTAGGGGTTAGGGGTTAGGGATTAATGTTAAGGAGTTAGAGTTATTGTGTTAGTGTTACGGTTAGGGGTTATGGTTAGTGTTAGGGGTTAGGGTTAGTGTTAGGGGTTATGGTAAGGCTTAGGGGTTGAGGTTAGGGGTTAGGGTTTAAGGTTATGGGTTAGGGGTTAGTGTTAGGGTTCCCTCAGAATTTCGTTGCGATGAGATAAGATGCTTTTATTGATCCAAATAATTGTAAATATGTTTTTATTGCATTGTTCATATTCATTTACAGCACATAAATATATATAGTATGATAAGAATATAGGATTTAAAAAAAAAATGATTGATTGCTTCATGTTTCAGAAAACAAATTAAATTCCCCCCACCCCCCACCTCCACAACAATAATCTAAAAGTCATTCGTCCCGCCCATATTACCGATGACCACAACTTTAGCCCTGAACGGTGTGCAGAGGGCAGCCTTCCTTAGCGGGCAGTAGACGCTGATGAACTTCTCCACGCACAAGGCCACGGGGTACCAGATGCAGAGGAAGATGAAGACGAAGTTGAAGTAGGTCACATACTGGCAGACACCCGACTGTGGATTGGCCAGAAAGGTGAACGTGTTATTGGGTCAGTTGGGTAACTGGAAATGGAATGTGTAGTGGAAGGCTATACATAGAGTATGTATTAAATGCTAAAAATGCCGTGTCTGTTAGAAAGCTACAAATAAGGGGGGGGGGAGACTGCACTATACTTTCGAAAAAGAAAGTAAAAACATATCTTATTTGTATACTTTATTTTAGGAAGCATATCTTTTATTTCTGGTCAAACTATGTAAAGGACACCTTTAACTCAATGGCATCTGGTCAAATTGACTTTAATGTACGCATTTACAAGACAGGACAATGACTAAGTGTACAGTTAGCAGACATTCACTTTATTAAATTTATTCTATTGATATTTATTGAATGTTTATGATAGCTTTTTTTTTTATACGATAATGGAATTTTCAATTATTGTTTTAAAACTTTGGAGCATTTTAAACCATAGAAAATGCTAATTACATAAACTTTTGTGCAGTGGCGTATCTAGGGTTAGTGCAGCCCCCAAGCCCCAGCGAAAATAATCTGCGGTTGGTTGAAAAATCAATGCTCCTGTATAGTGAAAAAAAATTTGAACCTCGGGGTGGATGGCACTAACCCCCCCCCCCCCCCGCCCTCAACCAAACCCTTTTTTTAAACTTGTTATTTTATGATAGTATCAAGCTATTAACTTGTATGAGATGGTATCGATATGGGACGTTTCTCATTGACATGATCACATGACAGTAACACGATACTCCCCCCCCTTCTTTTTCAGTCTCGCACTTACCCACGTGATCAAGCCAATCCCATGCTGCACCAGTCCGTTCTGGATGAAGTCTGTGATGAGCGCGCCGCTGTCCACCACTGCCATCGCCGCCATGTACGGCACGGACGGCACCTTCCTCAGGTGGGTCCTGGTGAACACCAGGTACGCGAGCAAGTTGGACAGCAGGCCGACGACCAGGATCGCCGGGCACGTGTAGTAGCTCAGCAGCAGCACCATCGGGCCCGTGAACGATTTCATCGGGGACTTCGGGGAGCTCGGCGCCCGGGTACGGGTGCCGTTGGCGAGGATCTGCTGGGTGGCGTTGGTGCGGACGATGACCTCGGGCAAGCTGCCCACGTCCTGGAGCTCGGTGACCTCCTCGAGGAAGAACGACGAATTCAACGCCGGCAAGTTCATGGGGTACAGGAACCCATCCATGTAATCAGATATGTTGGACGACGTCATGGTGAACGTTGGTCAAATTCACCAATATGGTCAATGCCAAATCATAGATGAAATCTTTCTTTGAAGTTTAATCATTAAATAAACGTTCACTTGTACAGTGGGAAGATTTCCAACAACATTTTCCTCATACACAATTACATGTATTGAAATACAGAATTTGTTGTTTTTTTTTTAATGTACGCGATAGTTTTGTAAAGCTAACAACATAAATTCCGTGCGATGAATTTGACGATTATGGAAATAACACGTCTGTCAATGTGACCAAATTTTATGCAAAAATATGCTTACTAGTTATGCTACGAAATGCACGCATAGAGTTTCAGTTTAAAGGCGAAACACGTAGATCATTAGGAATCTGAGATGATTATGTTAACTGGACGCACTGCAAATTCACTGCAGAGCGATGTCCAACTATTTCCTCCATGAAATTGAATCATTTTACATGACTGAATTTAAAAAAAAACAACAAAAAAAAAACAAAAACGAGAAGGAATAAACCCAAAGCGCAAATCACCACTTTCAGACCAGAATAACCCACATCGTAGACCACCGCTTTCAGACCAGCTGTGTCGGCTCTAACCAACCTAACCTGATCTATTGATGACCTTTGCAAATACTCTCCGCAATCCAGACGCCTGGGGTCGTTTGGTCGTGTCGATGGAATATTTTAGCCATTATCATCGGAGCAGATTTTTGCGAAAGATTGTTCCCGATGTTGTTTCGAATCGTTTTCCCCATGGGTGGGGAGAATTTTTTTATTTTCGGTGGGGGACAATATCGTAATAGCGATGATGATGGCAGGCCGATTATTTCCCTTTTTATGACGTCATTTCGATGTGGAGAGGAGTGATCTCACGTGTGGCAATATTCAGTGTGTCTGCCTGGGGAGGAGATACAACAAAAAGTTAGCTTTGATCATTAGAGTGGAGGGATCATTAGAGAGGAGAGATCATTAGAGAGGAGGGATCATTAGAGTGGAGGCATCATTAGAGAGGAGGGATCATTAGAGAGGAGGGGTCATTAGAGAGGAGGGGTCATTAGAGGGGAGGGGTCATTAGAGAGGAGGGATCATTAGAGAGGAGGGGACATTAGAGAGGAGGGGTCATTAGAGGGGAGGGGGTCATGAGAGAGGATGGATCATTAGAGAGGAGGGATCATTAGAGAGGAGGGATCATTAGAGAGGAGGGATCATTAGAGAGGAGGGATCATTAGAGAGGAGGGATCATTAGAGAGGAGGGATCATTAGAGAGGAGGGGTCATTAGAGGGGAGGGATCATTAGAGAGGAGGGATCAATAGAGAGGAGGGGTCATTAGAGAGGAGGGGTCATTAGAGGGGAGAGATCATTAGAGAGGAGGGGTCATTAGAGAGGAGGGGTCATTAGAGGGGAGGGATCATAAGAAAAAAGTGATCACAAGAGAGGAGGGGTCATTAGAGGGGAGGGATCATAAGAAAAAAGTGATCACAAGAGAGGAGGGGTCATTAGAGGGGAGGGATCATAAGAAAAAAGTGATCACAAGAGAGGAGGGGTCATTAGAGGGGAGGGATCATAAGAAAAAAGTGATCACAAGAGAGGAGGGGTCATTAGAGGGGAGGGATCATAAGAAAAAAGTGATCACAAGACAGGGGGGATAAATACAACTAATATCTTTTTTTAAACACAATTTTCTTTTCACTTTTACACTTTATTAAAGACGTAAATATAACTGTTATAGAATGTACTATATCTTTGACAGAATACAACAAATCGATTATAGACGATAACATCATTATTATATAAGATAACATAACTATTATAGAGTGTAACATAAATATTATTGAAGCTAACACAATTATTATAAAAAAATTCCATAACTATTATAGAAGATAGCATCTGTAATAGAAGATGCCGTGGCTATCGTAGAAAATAACATAGATTACTTTTAAAAGTTATCTGTAACAAGTTTCATTGCTTAAGCAAATATCCAAGAATCTCAAAAAGTTGTGTGTAGTTACACATGTGTATCATTATTTACTGTACAGTTTCTAATCAGAATGCGAATTTCTGTTGATTGAATGACCAAAGCCTACTTTGCCACAATAGTACCAATACATTTTCCTAACCCCCTGGTATAAGGAATAAACATTTATTACTCATATCGAGATTTAGGTAAACACAATTAAATGCTATACGCAAATGATATGTATCTTTTCAGGCAACGTCATTAGTTCGCTTCAGGCATTTCCGGCCTTATTTCTAACGCGGCTTTTGCGATACAGTAAAAAAAAATGAGTAAAACAAAGTCGTGTTAAACCTAAAAAAAAGGAACTCAACAAAACAACGAACGTGTCGATCAGAAGCCTTCGTCAGCGAACAAAAGAGAATGCAATCAGGTTAACACAATATAAAATGAGTTAAACAAAGTAGGGTTAAACCTGAAAAAAGGAACGCAAAAAAAAAAAAAAAAACAACAAAAATGTCCACAAGAAGGCATCTTACCGACACGATGTATGAAAAAAAAAAAAAAAAAAAAAAAAAAAAAATTTTTGTGCGTTCCTTTTTTCAGGTTTAACCCTACTTTGTTTAACTCATTTTATATTGTGTTAACCTGATTGCATTCTCTCCCCTTATTACCCTTTTGGGATACAGAAAGAGAATATTCATGAGTTAAATGGTTGATCATAGAAGCACACAATATCTCATCACACCTCAATAGGAGAGATCGACCATTAGTCTCCTGAGCTTAACTATTTTTGGTTACGTACAAAAAGTTCAAATTTTGAAAGAAGTCTCTTGTGGTCATTATTCACGAATTACCCAGGGTAAGGGTTAGGGTTGGGGTGCATGTTACCAAGTTCCAGCAAAACCCGTTCCCATAGCACACGACTGAGAAATGGGGGCAAGCCTTTCACCATAATTTGTATCATTTAATTTGTTCTGTTTCAGAACCTGGAAGGAAGCATTTCTACTTGAGCAAAATGCACCCAAAAATAAAACCTTGCAACTTTGATTGACAGACCCGAGTTGCGAACGACTGGGTTTAAACGTGGTTTTACTGCCACATGTCAGTCCACATACGGGTAGATCTACACGGGATTCGATCAGCCACAGACCGACCCCCCCCCCCCAACACTTACGCGTAGGCGAATCTAATATAAATGTCTGACACCCTTAACAAGGACATTTTTTTTGGGAGAGGCGTTGAAAAGCAATTTGAGGCACAGCCTATTGCGTGCCGCTGCGTTTCGGTTGATTAAAAAATGGATTAATGCACCAAGATCTGGGGCAACAAAACAATACAGAAAAATCTATTTAATTCTTACGCACAGAAACGCACGGTTTAAAAGAAATTAGAGCAATCATTTTATAAGCTCCATCTGATTGATCCAATTGGCCCTAACAAATTGACCCTGACAGTAACCCCCCCCCCCCNCCCCCCCAATCTTTTTTTTTCTCCCTCTTTTCTCATTCATCTCATTGCCAAAAGGAGCAACTCAAAGCCAGGTTCCGATACACGGAGTCCGCAATGCAATCATGAATGCACCCTTCAAACCCTAAACGGAAACAGGAAACATCATCATCAATCTTGTTGGAGCAACCCCCCTCCCCCCCCTCCCCCCGCACACCACTCCCTCCCCCCAAATACCTCAAGCCCGTATTTCTAATTCAATGAGTCTCTCTCTGTTCAAAAGTTAAGGTCAGGGTTAGGATTAGGGTTAGCGTAAGGGTTAGAATTCAACTCTTGGAAGCACCAAAGCTCTCTGTTAAATTTGACTTAAAAGTTAAATATGCTTAACTAGCGTTAGGTGTGTGTGTATGTATGTGGCTGTTGGTTTAGCATTAATTTGTGTGTGTATGTAGGTGGCTGTTGATTTAGCATTAATTTGTGTGTGTATGTATGTGGCCGGTGGTTAAGCATTAGTTTGTGTGTGTATGTAAGTGGCTGTTGATTTAGCATTAATTTGTGTGTGTATGTATGTGGCCGGTGGTTTAGCATTAATTTGTGTGTGTATGTATGTGGCTGTTGGTTTAGCATTAATTTGTGTGTGTATGTATGTGGCTGGTGGTTTAGCATTAATTTGTCGTTGTTTGTATGTGGCCGGCGGTTTAGCATTAATTTGTGTGTATATGTATGTGGCTGGTGGTTTAGCATTAATTTGTGTGTGTATGTATGTGGCTAGTGGTGTAGCATTAATTTGTCTGTGTTTGTATGTGGCCGGCGGTTTAGCATTAATTTGTGTGTATATGTATGTGGCTGGTGGTTTAGCATTAATTTGTGTGTATATGTATGTGGCCGGCGGTTTAGCATTAATTTGTGTGTATATGTATGTGGCTGGTGGTTTAGCATTAATTTGTGTGTGTATGTATGTGGCTGGTGGTGTAGCATTAATTTGTCTGTGTTTGTATGTGGCCGGCGGTTTAGCATTAATTTGTGTGTATATGTATGTGGCTGGTGGTTTAGCATTAATTTGTGTGTGTATGTATGTGGCTGGTGGTGTAGCATTAATTTGTCTGTGTTTGTATGTGGCCGGCGGTTTAGCATTAATTTGTGTGTATATGTATGTGGCTGGTGGTTTAGCATTAATTTGTGTGTGTATGTATGTGGCTGGTGGTGTAGCATTAATTTGTCTGTGTTTGTATGTGGCCGGCGGTTTAGCATTAATTTGTGTGTATATGTATGTGGCTGGTGGTTTAGCATTAATTTGTGTGTGTATGTATGTGGCTAGTGGTGTAGCATTAATGTTTGTAAAGCAGTTCCAGAATAACGACCAACGGTCAGAAACGCCAGTAACA